AATGGAACCATCTATGTATGAGCTACATAGGTACATAGGTCTGCTGGAGTCATTATATTAAAGGACAAATTTGATGGAAAGATTTTAGATAAAAGAATTGATGATAAAGGTCACTACATATTTCTGGCAATAGAGCTTCATGCACATATTTTATTATTAGGGATCATTTATGGGTATAACTCAGACTCTGTTAACTGTTATTTATTAAATGAAACTGAAAATGTTATTCATTCTCATACCTGTAAATACCCTTCAGCCAACATTATTTTGGGAGGAGATTTTAATATGGTATGGTCTCAAGAACTGGACAGACCCCCCCCCTAAATATTCTAAATGTAGAGATGAGGAAAACAGTCTTATAAAATTTAGCAAAAGATTCAACTTAATGGACATTTGGTGACATCATAACCCAACAGCGAAACAACATGGAATAATAAAGATCTATCGCGCTGTTCCCGAATTGACTTCTGGCTGATCTCTGATAACCTTCATGAACAGGTCACTGAAGTGAAAATAAGTCCTACTATTATGACAGATCATAAAACAATTTTTATTAAATGTAGTCTGTCTCAACAGCATAAAACAAAACAATTTAACTATTGGAAATTTAATAATTCTTTATTGAATAATAGTAGCTTTATAGAAACTACAAACAGACTTTTAAAACGATATTGGGAACAAGCAGTCTCTACAAATGAGTTTGGGAAACATTGGGAACTGTTCAAATTCCTGGTCGGGTCATACCAAAGACTTTGAAAAAATGGGACCCAATGCCTCCCTGCTTGACACTCAGCATTAAGGGGTTGGATTGGGGGGTTAAACCACCAAATAGTTCCCGAGCGCGGCTGTGTCTGCAGCTCACCGCTCCCCCAGGGGATGGGTCAAATGCGGAGAACAAATTTCGCACACACATCAGTGTGTGTGACAACTACTGGGACTTTAACTTTAACTTTAAATATGAAGTTAGAAAACATGCCATTAGTCTCAGCAAAGACTAAAAAAAGAAAAGCTAGAATAGAATTTTTAATTAAAAGTATATCAAACATCACCCTGAATCTTACGGATAATGAAAAATTATTACAGCTAAACTCCTTTCAATCTGAATTAGATGACATTTATAAGGAAAAAGCTAAAGGTGCATTCATAAGATCAAGACTGAAATGGTTGGAAGGAGAGAAAAACAGTAAATATTTTTTTAACATTGAAAAAATGAAACATTGAAAGAAGTACCCAAACTAAATTAAAAATAGGAAATGCCATAACAACAGACTATAATACTATATCCAAATTTGCGTCCAAATATTATACTAATCTGTACAAAATGGAAACATGTTCCGATTCATCCAATATATTTAATTTGCTTGAAGAGGTCAAAAAAGCAAGCACCACTCTTAGAGAAGAGTGTGACGAACCATTATCTTTTGAGGAAGTAAAATGGGGAATTAAAAATCTTAAACTCAACAAATCACCTAATGATGGCCTCACAGGTGAATTTTACCAAACGTTTATGTCACAATGGGTGTAGCTAACCTCTCTGAGTTTTCCTGTTTGCAGGTGGGCGCGCCCGGAGAGCAGCTGCTGCGAATTCCCTCATCAGCTCGCAGGGGATTTAAGGAGCGGTGTGACAACTCACCAGTGCCGGATGATTACTCACATTGGGTAGTTCACACCAGCTCTAGACCTGTTTCTAATTGTTCTGCATCCTGTTCTGCCTGTTTAAGCCTCATCCTCATCCTCATCCTCATCCTCATCCTCATCTGTCCCGTTCCTCCGTTCTCCCGCCCAGGTACTCTCATCATCTGCCTGTTACCAACTCGTCAACCTGCATTCTCACCTGTTACTACAAGGAGCCTCTGGATCTCCTGTCCACCAGCCACACCGCTTCTCCTTTGGCCACCTGCTCTCCTGCCCGCTCTCGGAACCGGTGCTCAGCTCCCAGCCTCCTCCACCAGCTACCCCTCAGACCTGGCACGCCCTCCTCTCAGCGCTCCACTACCGTACTGGAATCCGTAAGCCTCCATTCTATCACACCTTCCCCGTCTGCTTTACATTCCTCATTTTTGTTCTCTGTCTCAGAACGCTGCCAGAACTGTCCTCCTCTGACGTCTCCCCAGCCTCATCAAACTCAATAAATAACATATTTTACTCACCTTGTCTCTTTGTGATTCTGCATGTCGTGGGTCAAAAGACTCAATCACAACATGACAGTTTACTGCAGAATCCTCTAAATTCCTTTTGGCTGTATGTAATGAATCCCTAAATAATGAAGAATTACCTCACTCCTTGAAACAAGGTCTAATAACATTAATCCCAAAACCGAATAAAGATGCTCTTCTAATTGATAATTGGCGTGGCATTACATTATTAAACAACGATTACAAAATTCTTGCTTCAGTAATAGTCAAACGGCTAAAATATGGAATTAATGACATTATCCATGAAGCCCAAAATGGCTTCTTACCTGGATGTCATATTTCAAACAATATTAGATTAGTTTTGGACTTGATTAATTATAATTATTTACTCTCTGGGGACCCAGTTATTCTTTTTTTAGACTTTCAAAAGACATTTGACACAATTAACCATGAATTTATATTTGATACTCTAACCTTCTTAAACTTTGGTAATTTTTTCATCAAAGCAGTGAAAACACTATAGAAACAACAATAGCTCAGTCAAACTCATGTGTGGAACATCTCAAAGATTTAACGTAGAAAAAGGGGTGCGCCAGGGGTGCCCAGCCTCCCCTTATATCTTCTTGCTAGTAGCCCAAATATTAAACTATTTAATACTGCAATCACCTTTGAAGGGAATACAAATTTTTGACAAAGAAATCAAAATATCGCAACTAGCAGACGACACTACTTTCTGTAGTGTTTCTGCAAAATATTGAACAAATACCCACAGCTTTATCTACAATATCTGAATTTTCAAAAATATCAGGATTAAATCTAAATATAAAAAAATGTGAAATTCTACCTCTAAAGGACAGCTGCCAATCTGAAATATGTAACATTCCTATTAAAAACATAGTAACTTATTTAGGCATTAAGATATCAAAAAATAACAGAGAAACTCTGGACTTAAATATGCTCCCAGTGACTCAGGCTATTAAAACTAAGTTTAATTGTTGGGCCTCCAGAGATTTATCCATACACGGTTGAGTTCTGCTAAGCAAGGCAGAGGGATTGTCTAGAGCAGCCTATGTTTTTTCAGTCTTGGATATTCCCAAATCCATTTGTTCCCAACTTGATAAAATTCTTTATAATTTTATATGGAAAAACAAGCCTGACAAGGTAAAAAGATCTGTTCTCTCAAATCCAGTGGCTGAAGGGGGCCTTAATGTACTGACCTTTACCTCATTTAACCAAATTATAAAAATCAATTGGATTAAAAGATTCATTAAAAGCCCTAATTGCGTGTGGAATATTGTCCCAGATAATCTATTTAATGCCTTTGGTCGACTTAACTTTCTGTTGATATGTCCTTTCTCAGTAGGAAAACTCCCAGTTAAATTAAGTAATTTTCATAAACAAGCTTTATTATGTTGGAATCTTATCATTAAACACAACTTCTCACCTCACAATTGTATTATTTGGAACAATACATATATTGTAAACAAAAATAAAACACTCTATCTACACAATTGGTCATTAAATAATGTAAACACTGTGAATAATCTACTAAACACTACTGGCGAAACATTATCCCACAAAGACTTCTTAGAAAAATATAATATTAATACTTCACAAGAAGAGTATAACATGGTAATTAAATCCATCCCTGTTTGTATTTTCTCTTTAGCACAGACCATACAATCAAACATTACCTTATCTGCAGCAGTCAGACCTCCAACTATTTCTGGGATTCCAATCACAGATAAGAAATGTAATAATTCTGTAGTTAGAAAAGTAATTGATCCTGTCTCAACCCCGATATGCAAACATCGATGGACTTTGATGAATACAAAACTCTGGAACAGGATCTTTCTGCTACCTCACCAATATATCATTGTGAATAAGATAAATGAAGTTTAATTCAAGATTGTTCATAGATATTACCCGTCAAAAGCAAACATCTGTATTTTTTTTCCAAATGTTTCTGACATCTGTACTTTTTGTGGTTGTAAGGGAGAAACTATTGCTTTCATGAAACTTTGTTTTGGTTCCAATTACAAAGATACATTTCCAGAAAGTTACAAAAAAATGTTTCTTTAAGCAAATATGAAATACTTCTTATTGTTAATAACCCTCATTTATCATCCAATGAAAAATACATAATTAACTTAGTCATTATTTTAGCAAAATATTATTTACATAAAATGATTTTTCAGAAAAGTATCCCCTCCTTCTATAATTTCAGAATTACAGACTTTATGAAATATTGGAACAGCATTGAAAAATTAAAAAAGAAGAACAATAAACTAACAAAGACCATAAACCTATTTCATCATTTCAACTTGGACACAGCAGACCCCTAAGTGTTATGTTTCTAAGTTATTTATGTTTTTGTCAGTTTTTTGTTTATTTCTTGTTTTTTTGTTTAATAGTTACCTAATGTTGCATGTATGTTATTGCAATTGTAAACAACTGTAAAATGTGATCCATGGATATATTGAATGTATTTTCTGAATGTATTGACAACAAGTTAATAAAACCTGTAAAAAAAAAAAAAGATTAGCCGAGGTACCTGCCCCCCAGCTCATCTACGTGGACCGCGACTGCTGCAAACAGGACGGCGTGTCCAAGATGGCTGCCTTATTTCTGGTATAAACTTGCATCGTTGCTGACTGACTTATTTAGTTGTTTATTTAATTTTTCATAGCAATGATTCGTTATTTTGTTGTGAATTACTTTAATGGATCACCAGGTCACCTGAATTTCTACCCAATGCCTTTCTGAAAATTTTAAAACAATCAGACACCCAAATAAATTTCTGTAAACTCTTCATTTTCAGGTGTCAGTAAAAGCTTAAGCTGATTTTATAATCTAATCACGCAGGAACGTCGGCCAGTACCAAGTACTTCCAGGCGTTCCTGATTGATGGACTGGTCAGGTGGAACGAGGACCGCGCAGCGGCAGCTGAGGGACACGAGGCGCCTCTGCTGTCCTACAGTGGCCACCTCAGGCACGCCCTTAACCAGAAGAGCCAAAGGGTGTTTGGTCATCAGATGGTTAAGGACTTCACCAAGCCTGCTGCTTACACAGGTAGAGGAACAGAGAAACACGTTTTATTTACTCTTGATTTTTAATGACACTGTGCAACAATACTTTGCTAAGAAGGAGCTTTGAACCGTTTACATTTCCACAAAATCTCAGGTGAGCTCATCGGGGTGGAGTACCTGTTCCAACAGACAGGCCGCATGCTTGAGGACGTCAGCGTGGACCCTGACGCTCGGGACGAGGCTGCTGCCGTCACCGACCTGGACGAGGTGGACGAGGGTATCCAGGAGGATGTGGGCGACCACGTCGCCGCCTTGGACCTTGAGGTCCGGTCCACCAGCACTTCAGGAGCAGCCCGGTCAGGGGATCCAGCTGTCGCACCCGGGTCTGAGCCAGCACATTCTGCCGCCCCTGCGCATCACGCCCCTCACGAGGTCCCTGGAAGCCAGACTCCTGAAGAGAAACACTCCTCTGATTCAGAGGTCTTTGATCCCCCCTCTGCTAATCATTTCACAGCTGACCCACCTACCGTAAATCCTCTAATACAGGCCTGTATTCAATTAACGGCCGGGTCTCATATTTTGGCCGGTGTCGGAGTCGGCGGAGGTGAATAATGGCCGGTCTCTTATTGCGGCCGGGTGGAATGTGGTAACAAGCAAGTACGGGGGGCGGTTGTGTCATCGTCTAACTTTTGATTTGCCAGTGATAGACCGCGAGGGTAACTTTAACCGTGCGGAGACGAAGAGGAGGCGAAAATTTGATATCAAGGTCAAAGAGAACGTGCGCTGCAGAACACTTGGGAGCAATAGGGGGTGTATGAACTAGTCGACTTCACTATAGTGACTTTTTATGCTTGTCATCGACTAGTCGCTGTCACATTATAATGACCGGCAAGATGCAGCCCTCGGAAAAGACAGCAGTCTGCTGTCAGCAGGTGACAAGCTCCTGCGCTCGGGGGGGGCAACGCGCTGTGCCAGAGCGTCGGTACTGACACGCGATCGTTCATGTCGGTTCATTTCCTTTAATGTTTTCTGTCTTTTATTTGCGCCTGATGTGTTTCGCTGCTGTGGAGCGGGGCGCATCACCTTGTCCTCCGGTGACGCACCGATCACTGATGCGGCCGCCAAGCAGGGAGCACTCCACTGTTTTTGCGGTCGGTAGATCTGCGTCCTGAGCATGGCCACAGTAACATCAAATCAGGTGGCGTCACCTCAAAAACTAATTTAACACGCGATCGTTCATGTCGGTTCATTTCCTTTGATGTTTTCTGTCTTTTATTTGCGCCTGATGTGTTTCGCTGTGGAGCGGGGCGCATCACCTTGTCATCCGGTGACGCACCGATCACTTATGCGGCCACCAAGCAGCGAGCACCCCGCTGTTTTTGCGGTCGGTAGGTCTTTTATAACTGTCGAGAGGTAACTCATAAGGTGAATATATATGAACCCAGGTAGCAGTTTCTCTTTAGGATTGAGAGGAGATGCAGGAAGATAATAAACAGGCAGGACAGAAAAATAGTCAAATAAAAACAAGTTAGTTTTTGTACCTGCTGGTTGCAACAAACAGACACCATTGAAGGTAATCAGAAGTGAGGAACAGAAAATGAAATAATTATTTTAATGTTTAGAGCAGCAGGAACTCCGAGAGGCTGCAGGCGCATCAGTGAGTTTGCGGCCGCTGCGCAGGGGGAGGGGGGGGGGGGCTGAAGCAGAAACCACCGTTGTTAAAAGAAATGTATTTAACTTTGAAAATGTAGGCGCAATTTTAATTGTCAAAAACTCCAGCGAACCATTAGTTCATTTTGCTCAAATAGAAATAGAGGCCTGCCTCTAATTCTGGCCCGTCTTCCAATAAAGGCCTGGAGCTTGATGAGCTTGAGTCAAATACAGGCCCAGGCCTGTATTAGAGGATTTACGGTAATTTTGTTTTTTCACATATTCAGAGATAGTTCAGAAATTTGACTTCTTTTTCCCATTTTCTTTGTTTCTCAGGAGGAGATCCAGGGTCCTGATGGCCAGCTAGGATACCAGCATGTCCTGAAGCTGGCTCAGGCCCTGGTGGAGCTCTGTCTGACAGTAGGGTAGACCGACTCATTGCGCTTTGGCAACGCCTGCCAGAGCGTGACAAACAACGGATCGTCTACCCTAGCAGATACCGGGAGAGGCAACCAAAGGAGCGGTTCAAGGCAGCGAATGGGACTTTTGAACAATCAAATGACTGGGTTGTTCCAGTTTTGAGAATTACAGGTTCTCAGCATCCAAAGCTGGATTTTGTTTCAACTGTGAAATATCCTCAGAGCTGTGATATACATGATAAACTAATCTTTCACCATAACCTCAGTTGGCAGTTATGAAGTTTTCTGTTTTCTGTAATTTTTCTTTTATATGCATGTTTTATAACTGGATTTAACTGTTTGTGTTGTTAATGTTATATATTGATCTGCTCCATTGGAATATTATTCTGCAAGTGCACATTTATGTCCCATTTATACTTGCATGTAAATACTTCAACAGAAAGAATTAATTTCTTTTAATGTTTAGCTTTGGATTTTTTAAAGACGAAGCACGTAAGAAACCGCAACCTGATTTTTTAAAAAGTTGTGCTATTGTGACGCACACAGAAAGATGTGGTCACATTTTTTGTATTGATGCTTTAACCATCTAATGTAATGTATTCCTGTGTGAAAAAATATATTTAATGGATTCCAGGCTAAAAGGAAAAGAAAAAAAAACTTAAATAGAGTCTCTAAGGACATTGATATTATCTTTGTAAACTGTTCTGTAAAGGTAATGCACCTTAATGCCAGTAGAGGGCAGTATGATACTTGGCAGCTGACCGGGACAGAGTTTGGTGCGGACGTTGGCGCAGACGTTAGTTCTATTTCGTCTAGTCTTAGCCCTTAAGCTAGCTGCTATTGGAAGGATGATCTCAGCATCAGCCAATCATGAAGAGCTTAAATGTACGCCCACCAATGGTGAGCACCCCTGTGGGTATGATTGGAGCGACTCCACTGTTTGCCTCCGTTATCTCTTCAAGCCAAGCTTAAGAGCTTTCTTTAAAGAGCAAATTATCTAAAAATAACATTCAACTCACCAGCCATGTCCAGCGACGCCAGGACCTGCCCGGCCTGCCAGACGGGCTCCATCCCCAGCGGCGACCTGCACGTCAAATGTGAGGTCTGTCTCGGGGCTCATCACGCTGGCCTGGCCTTGACCCCCCAGGCCTCATAACCGTTTTGTGCCGCTCTGCCTGTGGCTGAAAAGATCTGCCGGGTCGAGTACTTCACCCCCGCCACCGGCGAGGAATTTCCGGTGGCTAACACGTACTCGCTGGACAAGGCCTTACAGTTCGTCAACGTCGGCCAGGAGCCGACTGGCTCCTACCAACTGGACGATGTCATCGACAGCAAGGAGTACGGTGAGGCTGGCTGCCATAGCCCTTCTTCCCTCCTGGACAACACGGAAGTCAACGGGCCTCCCTCAGCGGGCTCCTCTGCTCCAGTGCCTTCTCTCTCCTCCCTGCCAGCAGTTAGATCATTGCTCCAGGAGCTGCCTGTCATCATCTCCGCGGCTGCGGGCCGCAAGGGGCTAGCTGTGCCAGAACAGGCTTCGCCTGAAGCAGATGATTTGGCGGGAATTTTCGGGAGAACACAAACGCACTGTCCAGACCCCATCTGGCCGCGCTTCCCCGCTGCCATGAGCTGCTGGTCTGCCGCCTTCTCCGAACCTGCTAAGCTCAAGGCGCCTATTTCCACATATGCGCCCATTACCAAAGTCGAGTGCTTCTCCGACCAGGGCTGGCTATCCGTTCCTCCACTGGAGCCGGAATTGGCCTCGCTGTTCGGCGCCAAGAACCACCTCACTGGCCCGCGAGCAGTTCCTGCTTCTAAGCATGACCAGCTGCTGACGCGGCTCACCGATTGTGCACACCAGTGCGCCTTACAGACCGGCGCTGCAGGAAATAACATTGCCCTTCTTGCCTTTGGATTTTCCAAAATGGTGGAAGAGCTTGACGTGCCTGACGAGTCGAAAACCATCATCACTAAAACTGCTGATGCCATTTTCAATCTGTGATTGATTCAACCGGTTCTGCTCGCATTGCGGCCTGGCAGACCCTTATCCAGCGGGTCTTGTGGCTCAAGGCCCTGCCCTCCATTCCTGCAAACCTGCACAGAGAGATGCTGGAAGGCCCCATCACCTCTGACGTTCTGTTTGTTCCCCACCTTAGGAACGTCATCGAGAGGGCTCAGAAGACAGCTGAAGTGTCAGCCACGGTGCGAGACCTGGTCCACCCTCGGTCCGCCTCTCACTCCGGCCGTTCCTCCAGAGGATGGGACGAACCGCGTGGAAACTTCAGATGCCCAGCTGCTTCGCCCACCCCATGGAGCTGGCCTCCCACTGAGGTGGAACTGAAGCGGGACCAGAGAGTTGGCAGCCAACGGTTTCGAAAGAGCCAGCGGACACCGTCTTGGCCATCACAGTCGCAAGAACCTCGCCGAAAGCAACCACGAAAATGACTCGTTGGGGGGAATGTGTGTGCTTCTGACTTAATGTTAACTCTGTGAATGATTTTGGTTTTGAAATAAAACCCAAAAAAAACGTCACATCGAGAGCACAATCCTACAGTCCTCTGCAGAATCCTCTGCCGAATCCTCACACACGTTCCCCACACCAAGCACTGCGACACACCTGCATGTTCACGCAGTCAGTCATATTACACGGCCAGCTGTACGGGTGCGCTCCATCTGCGCACCGGCCCTAATTTCCAGCCAGGCCCAACACATCCCGCTCCCCCCGCAACGTAGGGTGGGATGGGATGTCATGGCGCTATCACGACCACACGCGGCGACGCAGTGTGCGGCTCCATCTGCTGGCACTTTGTCTTCTCCGTGCACGGGTCCGGCTCCCACTCGTCCTTTATCTTTGGACTCCACGCTCCGCGGTGTGGATCTGCCTCTTCCAGCTGTTTCACACTCGCCCTTTCGAGCGCAGCCCTCCACGGGTCGCTCCCAGTTCTCTGGTGCGAGCGACGGTGGTAAGGCCGCGAACCCAGTCCTCAGACGTCATTCAAGTGACCTCGAACACGTGTCCGCTGTCGGAACGTGCGCAAGAATGGCGCCGCCTTTGTCTCATGAGCAAATGGATATCGGACACCATTCATTGCGGTCACACACTTCATTTTCAGTCCGCTCCTCCTCCCTTCAACGGGATTGTGGAGACGACGTTCACGTCACAGGAACATTCACAGGCCCTGGAGATGGAGCTGCGGGAACTTCTGTCCAAGGACACCATTTCCCAAGTCCCTCGCGGACAAGAGCTCTCAGGCTTCTACTCCTGCTACTTCGTAGTACCGAAGAAGTCGGGAGGAATGAGACCAATTCTCAACCTTTCCCTGTTCTACTGCTCCATAGCAGTGATGCATTTCCGCATGTTAACAATGAGGCAAGTTCTAGAATACGTGCGCTCCGGGGACTGGTTCACGTCAATAGACCTGAAAGACGCATACTTCCACGTCCCAGTAATTCCCAAACACCGGAAGTTCCTGCGCTTTTCATTCAAGGGAGTTCAATACCAGTTCAATCGTCTCTCTTTCGGCTACTCTCTAGCGCCGCGCACCTTTTCCAAATGTCTGGAGACCGCTCTGCAGCCATTGCGCACGGCGGGAATGAGGGTTTATTTTGCCTGGACGATCTGCTCCTATGCGCCCGGTCCAAGGACGAGGCGTCAGAGCAAACCAGGAAGTTAATAAAGCATCTGTAAACCCTAGGGTTTTCCCTAAACTGGGAAAAGAGCTCAATCCTTCCATCACAGTCGATTGTGTTTCTCGGGGTGGAGCTGAATGCCTCCCTAATGAGAGCACGTTTGTCACCGACGAGAGCAGAAGATCTCACCACGGTGATCTCCTGCGTGCAACCCCGCAAGATCGTGACAGCCCTGTTAGTCATGAAACTTCTGGGCATGATGGCTGCAACCCACGCTGTGGTGCCTTTAGGTTTACTGCACACGAGATGCCTACAGCGTTGGTTCATCTGCCTCCGGGTACACCCGATACGCCAGAAGAGACGTATGTTGAGGGTTCCCCCTTCAGTGGGTGGGGACCTCGCTCACTGGGGGAATCCCTGCATCCTCTCACACGGGGTCCCCATCGGACGTCCTACATCACACGTATCTGTTTTTACGGATGTGTCACTGTTGGGATGGGGGGCACGTGCTTGTCCCATACGGTGGCAGATCGCTGGCCCTCCCACAGGCACGAGCACATAAATGTGTTGGAGCTTATGACAGTGAGGAATGTGATCAGACACTTCGCTGCCCTTCTCGAGGGCCGTCATGTCGAAGTTCACACAGACAACCAGGTGGCGGCAGCCTATATAAATCGCCAAGGGGGAGTTCGATCCCTCCCACTATTGCACGCAGCCACAGATTTACTGTGTTGGGCACATGTCTACCTGCTGTCCATCAAAGCCACCTACATTCCAGGGGTCCTGAATGTGGCAGCAGGCATCCTGTCGAGAGGGGGACCCCGCGACTCTGACTGGCGTCTGCATCCCGCACTGATGTCACAGATCTGGATCAAGTTCGGGGAACCCTCTGTGGATTTGTTCGCGGCTCGCGAAAACACTCAGTGTCGCCTGTGGTTTTTCCTGAGTCCGCGGGACCACCCCCCACTCGGAGCGGACGCCTTCTCATGCCAGCCCTTGCCTCAGACGCTCCTGTGTGCGTTCCCGCTGGTCCCACTGATTCCCCGTCTCCTAGATCGAGTTCGGCCGGAACAGCTCTCTGTAATTCTGGTAGCTCCCAGACGCTTGTCCGCGTCATGGTTTCCGGACCTGCAAGCGCGTCCGGCTCCCCGTGGAGGCTCCCGTGGAGGGCGGACGCCCTTCTGCAGGCGGATGGGATAATCAAACATCCTCCAGAAATAGGCCAACGGCTGTGGGTCTGGCCGCTGAGCGGTCACTCTTAGAGGCTTCTGGGCTGCCGCATGATGTGGTCGCCACAATTCAGAGTGCGTGCGTGCCTTCTACCGTTGCATCTAATGCTGCTAAATGGGCAGCTTTCCAAAAATGGTGCACAGAGCGGAATGTTCAAGCGCTCTCCTGCCAGCTGGCGGATGTCCTATCGTTTCTGCAGATACTGATGGACAGGGGCCTCGCATTCAGCACTGTTAAGACATATGCTGCAGCTATCTCGTCCTGTCATCAGGGTTTTGGAGATAGATCTGTTTTCAATCATCCCCTCACAAAACTTTGTCTAAAAGGTGTCAGAAGGAACAGAACTGTGTCCCGCCCGCTATTTCCCCAGTGGGACCTAACGGTGGT